CTTTATATTTATAAATATATTTTATATATATATATATATATATAAATATTTATATATTATATATTTATACATTTGGTAAGTTTTTTCTTTGATTCTAACATTTCTCAAAGTGAATTCCATGATTGTATAGTTAATTTATGAAAAATGATTTTATGGTCAATTAAATTTACATTAAAATCCAGGACTTCTCGCTATGAAGCCAGCATTCTTTCCACCACCCCACAGGTACAATAATTGTTTGTAGTTTCTTTCATTTATTCAAGAAGCATTTGCTAGTTTCTTTCTCCATGCCAGGCATAGTAAACAAGTGATTTATCAGATATGGGCAGAGCTCTAAGGGAACAGAGAACTTACGAATGACTAAAGAAGTATGAGCACTTGGAAGTGTGCTGTGTTGAGAGAAGTACAAGACAGAGCATACCCACCTAATGTGGTGGGAGTGAGGGATGGTCACGTGACATATCATGGAGAAAGTTACATTTACTTGTAGACTCGGGAAAAGTGAAAGAAGCCTAATAAGTGAGCCTGGAATGTCAAATGGAAGAGGAATTAATAACTGGTGAGTCTTGTGATAGGTAAGGGACAGTCATTTTGCAGAAAGCCAGGGTAAACCACGAGATTTATAGTCAGATAACAGCGTGACTGCGTAAGCCTTACCAACTCTTTAAGCCTTCTTTTGTAAAAAACAGATATACTTTACAATGTATTTAAAAAAAAACAAACAAACTTCTAAAGACTCTACGCCAATTGCAAATTTCATGGAATTCCCTTTTCGAGATGACTAAGCATGCAGTAATGAAGTTCTGCTTCAGAAGAAGAATCTGAGTTTTCTCTGAGTGGCATGACTAAGTGACAAAACAGAACAATAGAAAGTCTGTTTATATTTAAAGAATAGAAGTCTTTCTGTTGAAAGAACTAGGCTTTGAGAGACATTTGAACAAGATGTAAGCTGTGAAGCTGGATGTTCAGGAAACAGTTCTTAGCAGCAGTTGGCTGGCATCTGCATACACTCAGTTGTTCTTACTGGAAAGAACACTCCCACTTTTAATTACAAAAATTTTCAAACAGGCAGAAAAATTGGAAAAGTAGTACAATAAGCCATATATATCCTCACTTGGGTTTAATATCACCATATTTGCTTCCTCACTCTCATTTGTCCCTTTTTAAAATATATTTTTGCACTTCTTTTTGCTGCTTCATTTGAGAATCAGATGCAGAAAGATGTCATATCTAAATAATTTATTTTTTCTTATTTATTCTTATTTATTTTTTAAGATCTTATTTATTTATTTGACACAGAGAAAGCAGGAGAGCACAGGTTGGGGGAGGGAGAAGCAGACTCCCCACTGAGCAGGGAGCCCAGGTGAGCCTCAATCCCAGGATCCTGGGATCATGACCTGAGCCAAAGGTAGACGCTTAACAACTGAGCCACCCAGACATCCCAGGTCTAAATAATTTAGCATAAATCTAATAATAGCAGGTACATGTATAATCATAATGTTAATATATTTCAAATATTTTATTAGACAAGAAACTTATTATGTGAAGACACAGAAAATCTTCAAGAAAATTCAAGTTGTCCATATTTATAATAAGAAGAAATAACCAGCTAATGATTTAGCATTTAACCTCTAAGGTCTTTATATATAAATATATTATCGTTACAAAAATATACCATTTTTTTGTAACTTATGTTTCTTTTCATGGTAATTAATACATGATGTACTAGTATATCATATTGCTCTTATTGTTTACAGTATATTCTAATTTATAGATATACCATAATTTATTTAACCAGTCTTCTCAATGTTGGATTTGCAAGCTCTATTTCCATTTTTTTCCCACTGTTATCAACAGCTCTTCAAGGAACAGGAGACTGTTCTTTTTTTTAAACAAATTTTACTGCCTATGGTCTCCTTGTGGACTTAGAAATCAAGTATACTATGGGTTTATGCCTAATAAGGAAGATAAAAAGCCAAGGACAACTTTTTTTTTTTTAAAGATTTTATTTATTTGACAGACAGAGAGAGAGAGAGAGAGAGAGAGAGAGAGATCACAAGTAGGCAGAGAGGCAGGCAGAGAGAGAGAGAAGAGGAAGCAGGCTCCCCACTGAGCAGAGAGCCCGATGTGGGGCTCGATCCCAGGACCCTGAGACCATGACCTGAGCCGAAAGCAGAGGCTTAACCCACTGAGCCACCCAGGTGCTCCCAAGGACAACTTTTGATGTGACAAGGTAAATTAAACTTTTAAGAGGTTATCTTGGAGAACATTACAGTTTAATTTTAAGAAAGAAGTTGGTGAGAAACACATAGTTCAGAATTTAAAACACCACTAAAAATAATTTTTCCAACCAAGTCCTTCTTTCAACATTTATTAAACAAAAAGGTCTGGTTAATCAGGAACACAGCCACCTAAATGCATTTTTTCCAACAAAAATGCATTTTTCAGGGTAATACATATTTTGAAAATCCCGTGATTATTTATGCCAGACAACATGATAGTAAATTAGCTTCTTATCAACAGTCAATCAAGATTATGTTTATAAATTATTAAAGTTTCAGTATATTTAATGATTTAGGATCTTGATAAACTTGAAAGAAAGGAAAAGGAAAGATACTGAACATAATATTCTCAGGATAATATCCTGTAAGAAGGAAAAACCTAAGAAAAGGAGAGAACAATAATATAAGAAATTATATCAATCACCTGTTTCTTCTATACAATCAGGACATGGTGCTAAGCCTCTGACATGATTTTAAGTCCACCGGCCCTCAACATGGTCTCTACCGCTCTTTTCCTTTTGCTTCTCTCTCTTCTTTTTGTTGTTCTCTGCTTCTGTTTTGGTCCCCAAAACTTCACTTTCCCTGGATACTTCTAAGCAAGAAGACCTCCTTTCTCTCATTAGGATATCCATTATTCTACATCCATCATGTATAATGTTTGATATGTTCTTGATTATAGGTTTCATTTAAAAGTATTGAAGAGGCCACGCTAAGATTACAAATACTACTTTGACATTATGTCTTTTAGCTTTAGCCAAAAAATTTCCAGAATAAGAAATCATGTTCCACTGTTGTCCTTTCCTCTGCCTATGTGTAATAACTGTACTATTGATTCTTTGGCCTAAGTAAGCTAACATTTCCTCACCCATAAAATAGTTACTATGCTAGACATCTACTGCCTGAGGTACTGGGAGTACAGTGATAAAGTCAAATACTCTCCCTCTTGAATAGGAAGCTTCAGCAGTGTAATCCAGTTACATCTTATCATATACAGTCCAGCTACTGAAAACCATTAAGATTCAGGTAAAATAATCTGGCTATCAATATTTAGAGTATTTTTTCAAGTTTTTTCAAGTATTTCTCTACATAATAGACAAAATCCAGACAAGGTTCTGTCAATATTTAATTGTTTAAATATATTTGCTAATGACATACTCAGTTCGGGATTAGTATCCAAAATATGCTAAGAACTCATACAACTCAAGACCAAAACAACAAATAATCCAATGAAAAAATGTGCAGAAGACATGAACAGGCATTTTTCCAAAGAAGACATCCAGATGGCCAACAGACACATGAAAAGATGCTCAACATCACTCATCGTCAGGGAAACGCAAATCGAAACCACAATGAGATATCTCACATCTGTCAGAATACCTAGTATCAAAAAGACTAGAAATAACAAGTGGTGGTGAGACTGTAGAGAACGGGGAACCCTCGTAAACTTATCGGTAGGAATGTAAATTGATACAGCCACTCTGGAAAACAGTTTGGAGGGTCCTCAAAAAAACTTAAAATGGAAGCACCATATGATGCAGTAATTGCACTTCTGGGTATTTACCCAAAGAAAACGAAAACACTAATTCAAAAAGATGTATGCACCTCTATGTTCACTGCAGCATCATTTACAAGGGCCAAGATATGGAGGCAACACAATGTAAATATCTATTGACAGATAAATGGATAAGAGAAATGTGGTATATATACATGATGGAATATGACCTAATCATAAAAAGGAACGATATCTTGTCATTTACAAGAGTATGGATGGACCTAGAGGATATTATACTAAGTAACTGAAAGACAAATACCCTACAATTTCACTTATATGTGGAATCTAAAAAACAAACAAAAAAACAAATGCCAACTCCAACAACAAAAAGAGAAACAGACTCATAGAGAACTAACTAGTGATTGCCAGAGGGGAAGGCAGTGGGGGATGGGTGAAATAGGTGAAGAAGATAAGGGAATAAACTTCAGTCACAAAATAAATCATGGGGATAAAAAGTGCAGCAGTGAGAATATAGTCAATAATACTGTAATAACTTTGTACGGTGACAGATGGTATGTTAGACTTATCCTAGACTTACCATGGTGAGCTTTTTATAACACATATAATTACCAGATCACTATGTTGTATACCTGAAACAAATATTCTATGTCAACTATACTTCAGTTAAAATTTTAAAAAAGAATATTTAGTTGTTTATTCAGGCTTCACTAGGGCACAGTCCTTTTTCATGGGAGAAATTGCACAAAAAGTCAGAAGAAATCAAGGGACGATCCCTTTAGGAAGTAATCCATGGCATACTGGACATTATGGTTGCATCACCCTCATATCCAATAAAATCCTACAGCGTCCAGGCAATATTCCAAGAACTTTCTAAATTTAAAAAAGCCACATTTGATGTCAGTTATAGGAAGGAATTTTAAGAGGAGGCCCTTAGCCTTCTATAAAAAGTCAAACTGCTATTCCCTATTCCTCTATTAGAACAGAATATACAGTAAATCACAATTATATCACAACCAAACATTAGCCAAATTATTTCCATTTCAGATATTTAACTTAATTGGGAAAGTAAACTTATTTAAAATTTTTCTCCAGTAAGGGACTGGATTCTATAAAATTAGAAGGAAGAGAAAACAGCTAAGACTATATTTCTACTTTTAAAAGAATTTGATTTAAGTTGTTTTTATCACCAATTACAATCTACATACCTGTGTGACTACGGATATGAACTCTCAGTGTACCACTGCTGGCAAATTTCTGGCCACAATATGGGCAGATTTTCTCCTTTTCTCCTGTATGTGTCTAAATGGAAAGGAATAAAAAGGGTCGAGGATAAATATAAAGAATTAGGTAAAAATGATTAAGTGCCTCTGACAATGGTAAATCCTTTTTTTCCAGGATTATGTTTCATTAAAATGATTTAGTATCACAATGAGATTTTAAACAATTTATCATGAGTATTCCCTCTGGTTCAAAAAAACAAAAAAAACAAAAAACCCCCAAACCTTAGACTCCTGCATTAGTGCTAATTTGAAAATAATTCTGCAGTTTACTTTTTAAGCCTTTATGGAGCCCCCAAGTAAAAATGATTAAGTTATACAAAACCAGTATATGCTGGCAAAACCACATAATCAAAATGGGGTTACAGCTCCCTTGACTGCTGCCAAGAAATACTTCCTTAGAAGCATTTTTCACATTCTTTGTGTGTATTTAACTCCCAAGGACAGAATTAATCTCAATAAAGTAATCTGTTATTTGCATTACGCTTGCCTGACTGGATTGATTTTACAGCAAAGCAGAAAGGAATATAAATCTGACTTGATCTTGAAAATCAGCAGGTGTTAATTGAGCAGTCAATTTGAAAGAACATCCTTGCCCTCAACATACCTTTAATTTCAGCATAAAACAACCACACAAGGAAAGGTGAATATGTATCATCAAAAGTGAATTTTTTTTTAAGATTTCATTTATCTATTCGACAGACAGAGATCACAAGTAGGCAGAGAGGCAGGCAGAGAGAGAGAGGAAGGGAAGCAGGCTCCCCGCTGAGCAGAGAGCCCGACGCGGGGCTCGATCCCAGGACCCCAAGACCATGACCTGAGCCGAAAGCAGAGGCTTAACCCACTGAGCCACCCAGGCACCCCTCATCAAAAGTGAATTTTGACAGAATGTTAGAGAGTTTAAAGAAAAGAGCAGGCTCTCCCAAAAAAAAAAAAAAAAAAAAAGGAGACAGATGGAGCTTTTAAAACTTGTCTCACAATCTCATCAGGAGATCTTATTCTACCAGCATCCAAAATAGGTCATTCCAATAAATGAGATGTCAGAGCTACTTTTCAAGTCCCATTGTTTTTTAAACTTAGGAGAAGGGGAAAAGAAGGGAGAAGAGGGAAATTACTTCAGATATCTGCACACTGTCAGTGACACTTCATAAATTTTTTTTTTTTAATTTCAATGATGACCTACACATTAACGAAAGCATACAGCAGATCATCTGGGTTACTACCACAACACAGAGTTTCTAGGGCCTGTGTTTGCATTAGGTTTGTGCAAATTACTGGCATTGCCATGGGCTAATGTAAAAAGAATGGGAAAGTTTTTTTGTTTTTCTTTTTTTTAAATATGTTCCCAGCAGGGACACACTGGCAGGGATAGAGTGAAAGGAGTAGGGCAGTCTCATCTCAGAAAACAACCAGTGTAGCAAAACATTCTCCATATTAATTGCTAACTTTAATATAATTAGTTTCATAGCCTTATTGGCATTTAATTTGAAAATTTCCACATTTGAATTATAATCTGCATTTGGATAGATACTATTGTATTTGTGGTTTTTAAAACAGTTATAAACTAAATACCTTAGTCAACATCAGTGTCCTTTTAAATATTTTTCCATTGAAAATGATTTATATTATATTCAAATTTCAGAAATCTAGTCTAACCAACTGCCACGCTAGCCAATGACACTGGCTACAACAGACATCTCCTTGATTCTCCATTTGGCAGGCACTTAACTTTCCATTTTCACTCTAAGTTCTTATACAAAACAGTTATACATTCTTTATAGTAAGAGCCGTTACTCCCATGGTTCCCATTATGGCTCATTTTAAAGGAAATGGTATAGCACTTTAACATAGAGCAGACCTATATTCTTCTCATTCCCTGACAGAAGGGGCAAGATACATCAATTCTTTCTTGACTAGTGTACGGTTGCTTAGAAATTGTGTATATCTATTATTAAAACATTGGATTACTCCAAAGAGGCAACTACCAATTTATTTATCGTATCTTTATAAAATCCACAGAATTTCTTTTGCTGCTACATAAGTATTTCATTGCTCACTTACATGACCTGACTTGTCAGTGGTACAAGGTTCAAACCAAACAACATTCAGTCAACAATAGTGAAAAGAATTAAAATGCTTCTTTGGTTTAATTCAAAAATATATCTTATTATTAGGTATGGAATTTGGTTAACTGGTTTTAAAAGACATTTAAGGTATAACATTAAAATATCTTAAATATAGATAAGAAAGCATGGAACAGATCACTATGACAATATTGGTAAATGTATAAGACAAACACAAATAATGCTCTGCCACGACAATCTATGATTGTGGACAAACAACTATTACCTCTCTTGAAAACTCACTATTTTTTTCCCAGGTTGATTAAACAAGACACAAATTTATTAAATTCATACAAAAAATAATTCAAGCAAAGAAAGGTGAAAAATTATCCTCTCCAGAAATTTGAAAAGAGTAGACAATATTATTACTGAACATTAAAGAAACAGGTAATGGACAATTCAGTCCTTTGACACAGCCACACTAAAGACAGGTACCAAAATAAAATTCACACTGAAAAACGAGTTACTTCCTCACATTCACTTAGCAGTGCACACTAAGTAGCCGCATCTATGACACTTCATAGTCATTTCTAAAGTCAACATTAAAATCTATAATGGTGTTTGTTACATATGAACATTGCTATTTTTGAAAATACCCTTAAAATGTACTTACAAACCAAATAAAAATAACCTCTTGATTTGCTTAAAGTAATTAGCATAACACAAAAAAGATAATCTCCAAATCACTGTAAGAACCTCATTTTATTTGAGTTAAGCAAATACTTATCAAGTCCCTCTTCTGTACCAGAACTTCCCTAGGCCTAGAGATGCAAGATGAAGAAGAACAGTTCCAATCCTAGAAAAGAGCTCAATCTAATAACTTGTCAATAAACACCTGAATTATCTCTGAAAAATAAAATTAAGGCACTGATCATTTTTTAAGTAAAAACCTACATTAATTCAAAAACTTACAAAAACTGACAAGCTTTCACTCATCAAATACTTTGTACAACCCATCTATCACCATAGTTCAGTGCTGTGGTGAAGAACTCACCTCAATCTAGGTTCACCTTCATCTGAAAGATTATACCTCTTCTGAAAAAGTAAAGAGAACTGACATTTTCTGAAGAGCTCATATAAACCACGCATCCCTTGTCATTTGGAGGAAATATGTTGATTAATTAATATAAAATTGATTATCACATTATAACTAGCATGCATGCCCATATTGTTGAAGTATGTAATTCATTCAAACATACAGAAGGCTTCTACTTACTTTCTTATGACTTCTAAGCACTGAAGGTGTAACAAACGCCTTATTACAGAGCTCGCATCTGTATTTCTTGTGTCTTTCATGGACCACCTGGACGTGAACATTTAAGGTATCCTTCCTTTTAAAGGTAGCATCACAGTGATGGCACTTGAAAGTCCTCTCACCTTAGAAATGAAAACATTAAATAAAAGAAAGATCAGATGCAAGAGCCGAATGATGTTATCTCCCCCTCATGGGTACCAGATATAGTGTTCTTTTCTCCAAAAATTTATTATAGCCAGAAAAGGTAATTTTTCACATCCTTCAATTCCACATTTGCTCATTCATTGTGTGACCAGCGGGAAGTGCTTGAACCCTCTTACATTCTCAGACTCTTTAACTGGAAAAGGTGGAGACTCAATTAGCTAACTTTCTAAAGGAACCATAAACTTTCTTTAGAAGTAGTAGGTCTTTCTCAGGCAGTGGCTCAGGGTTGAAGTAGATTCTCATGGTGACAAAAAGCTTCTGTCAAGCAGAGTAAGTGGCATTTGGGGCCCCTCCTAAACTCTCCTCACTCCCACCACAGCCCCTGTGGTCTTTAAGGGACAGGGCAGAATAGGGTCATGGGTAGCGAGGTGCGGAGTGAAGCCCCCACAGGCACACAGAAATGGGTCAGAGCCAGACCCCTGCTAAGACAGGAGAGGGCTACGACACCCCTTCCTTCCTCAGCACTATCTCAGGAATTTGGACTAGAGGCTCCCTAACATGGTCCCTGGTCTGCTAATTAATTTAATTACCTTCCAGGCTCTCATCAGACAGGTTGGGGGGTTGCCTCTCAGAAAGGCAGCTGGACTGGGGCAACTATCCTTTTCTACCCTAGAGCCCCTGGGTACCTGTGAGGATATTCACCTTGTTCTCATTTTATAGCCTCGGCCCACAGGGAAAGCAACTCCACAAACTCTGTTTCGGGATGTATGGTATGGTATTTTTTAAACTTGCATATGCATGGAAGTACATGATTATGTAAGAAAGACAGCCTAGTATTTGAATATATCTTCCCCTTTTAAAAAACAATTATATTAGTACAGATCTACATATTATATTCACTATGAGACAAAAGATAACTTTCTACATTGAAATAGATTACCTCAATTTCCTACTTCCTACTTCCCTCCATTATAACCAACACAGACTTAGAAATGTGAAGATCCTACTATTTCTTCATACCAAATTTAAGGAAGCAAGGACAAAAAGAGGTGAAAAGGAAAAAAAGAAAAAGACAAATGACGCTTTTCAAACAGAATTATGGCTCTTTAACTTAAAATCTTGGAGAGCCCTGATGGAATCTGATGCTTGGAACAAAGTTACATCCAAACCATGCAAGAATTGTGTAGATTCTCAGAGCTATGTTTATATGTTGCCTTTGTGCATTTTTGTTGCTGGGTACTGTCACTATAATCTAGTTTGTCTTTATATATCATTTTAGATTTAAATACCTCATTTGTATAAAATATATAATAGTAATAATAGTAATAGTAATAGTAAAAGAAATGATCAATGACATAAGATTATAAATAAAGCAAAGCAACTCAGGAACAATGAAAAAACAAAAACAAGGGTTGCCTGCATGGCCTAGTAGGTTAAGCTTCAGACTCTTGGTTTCAGCTCAGGTCATGATCTCAGGGTCACTGGGTCCAATCCTGTGTCTTAGAACTCTGTGCTCAGTGGGGTGTCTGCTTAGGATTCCCTTCCTCTCCTTCTCCTTCTGCTTCTCCCTGTCCTCCTCTCAAAATAAATGAGTAAATGTTTACAATTAAGTAAATAACAAAACAAAACAGTAATTCTCCAAGATTTCTCCTATTAAAGCATTTCTATTAAACTATCACATGAATCAAAATATTGATTCCTATACAAAGACCTCATCAAGCTATACCAAGGGAGTCCTTACCTTTCTTCTTTCAAATTTTAATACCAGATTTCTTTGTTTTAAGCTTATCAGAATTTTTTAACTCTGAAGAGATTTTATCTGATGTTATCAGATTTCTTTGCCTTAAAGAAATAAACATAGGATTAAAGATAGGATTTTTCCTATCTTAAAACCAAGAAGCAAGCTAGTAACCTGCCTTTTGGTTTTCCATATGTTAGAAAATAGCAGTAATTTCCAAAATAATTATGACGTTATTTTTCATATTTTGAGCCAGAATACTGATATAAGTTTCTAAAACAGCCTGCATGTTTTGAAGTTAAATAGGTTTTCATTTTCATACTGTGTAAGATAACATCTAGTATTTTGTCTTACTCTGTCTCCTTCTGGTTTTTCCCATCCTTTTAGCTCATTTGCCTTATCTGATGTTTAATTTTACCTTCAATAACCCACTTGCTCAGTCAACTACAAAGCTGACTTCCCAGCCAAATGTCTTGGTGCAGCTTCATAAAGCCTGTGATTAATGTGCTGACCAACATTATATTAAATACAGAATGTGCAAACACAGTCCACACCGCTGCTTCAATCCTCTGCTTCAAGTATATGGGAGCCAATCAGCAGAAATCAAAATTAGTAGGTTCCTTATAATAAAAATTCCTTGTTGTTATTGAAACTAATTTTCATCTATCCAAACAAAAATTTCCTGAGCATACAGGCCAAATTTGGCCACAGAAGTCTTAATAGTATGAATGAGGTTCACTCACCCCAATTCCTACTCAAAAATCCATTCATCCCATAATGACTTTTTTTCTTAATCAAATGAGAGCGTGATGGGATGGAAATTACTGCTGTTACAGGGCAAATTTTCTTTTCTTTTTTTTTTTTTAAAGATTTATTTATTTATTTGAGAGAGAGACAGAGATAGCAAGGGAGAGCACGAGTGGGAACAGAGGGTGAAGCAGGCTCCCTGCTGAGCAAGGAGCCCTAATGTAGGACTTGATCCCAGGACCCTGGGATCATGACCTGGGCCAAACACAGCAGCTTAATCAACTGAGCCACCCAGGCACCCTAAATTTTATTTCTTAAATGCATGGCTGTCCTTAATAAAGAAAGAGAAAGTTGTGTTGACCAATTCTCCAGAGCTGTAAGGTCAAATGCAGAGTGGCACGGACCTTAACACTATCTTTTCTGTAGGAAAAGAGGCATTTCGTCATGATCTTACCACTTAGTATTTTCAAAAACTTTACTATGCTGAGTGAAGTAAGTCAAGCAGAGAAAGCCAATTATCATATGGTTTCACTTACTTGTGAAGCATAAGGAATAACAGAGAGGACATTGGGAGATGGAGAGGAGAAGTGAGTTGGGAGAAATTGGAGCAGGGGAGACAAACCATGAGAGACTGTGGACTCTGAGAAACAAACTGAGGGTTTTGGAAGGGAGGGGGTGGGGGGTTGGGTGAGCCTGGTGGTGGGTATTAAGGAGGGCACGGATTACATGGAGCACTGGATGTGGTGCATAAACAATGAATTTTGAAACACTGATGAAAAAATTAAATTAAATAAAAAAAAAAAAAAAACTTTACTATCTTTGGCATTTTGAATTGTAGACACTTCTACTTGACCAGAGAAAATTTCTTCTAAGATACTGTCTTATCTGTACTGTTGTCATAACTGATTGTTTTACTTTCCTCAGAAATATTAAAAATTTAATCAGCAGTAGTAACTTTGTTTCAGAAGATGTTCCACGGATTAAACAACTCAAAAGCAAACAATACAAATATCGCCTACATTATGCCATTTTTCTTTACTTTTAGATACAGTAATGTAACAAATGTCTGGTTATTTCCATATCTGAACACAGAACTCACTTTAAAACTCAGCTTAGCAATAGCATTTTCTCTGAAATAACATAATATAAAGTGTCCTTTCAGCGATGTGGGTATAAGGTGTTGTATTCTAAAAATATCTCTTTGCATAGTATGTATGTGTATAACTTCTCCCAAAAGAAAAAGAAGTGTTCCTGCCAAAAGAAGTTAAGAAGTCAGAGGCAGCATATAGTAAGAAGAGAAAGCACCTGACTGAATCTGGATGCTGTCTCTAGATCTAGAACACCGCGTATGTCACCATGTTTCTCTGGGTCTGCATTTTCTCTACTCCCCTCGCATTAACAGGTTAAATTAGATGTGCACTCTGATCCTTTCCAACTTGAAAAGTCTGTGAGCTAATAAAATCATGCCAGACATCTGCATATTTTAACCATTATACTTAAAAGGGAACAAAAATGTCTATTTCAGACAAATTTCAAAGATACTTTACTGAACATAAGATTTTATATACAAACCTTAAATAGTGGAAAGAAATGATATAAAATAAAATGTCTCATAAAACAATTTATCTTTATGTGGGAAAATAAAGCAAGAATAAAGCAAGAAAAGGAGAAAGGCAGAATTACCAGCCCTTTTTACATTCAAAAGCAGATCATGTAACTATAAACAGGTCCATTTTTGTGACGCCAACATTCTCAAGAGTTATAAGAACGAAGTTTGAGATAATTCAATTTGCCCTCAACTGCTTGTATTGTGACTTACTGTTATGTATGAGCAGGTGTCTCTGCAAAGAAAATGGGGTTCGGAACAAAGCTTTACATTCCTCACATTGGAACGGTCTCTCTTCAGAATGCGTCTGCAGATGAAAGAAACTGAGTCAGGGGGGTCTAAAATCATCTAGTCGTGACAATAATTGGAACTTGTATTCGTGATGCGGGAGAGGAAGGGGAAGGTAGACAGTATCTTGTTTCTTCTGGTGATATTCTTTTACCATAAAACCATAAACACAAATACACTATGTTCACAGGAGAAAAACAACTCTATTTTTAAATTCTCACATTAATTATATATTTGATAAATAATAAAGGAAATTGTTTCTCTAATCTCAAAATGCTAATCTGAATATACCCAGATTTCTCAGGATTTACGCTGCAGAGTAAAATGATTTATAATTTCTCTGAAGACTAAACCTTCATTCTTACTGGACAGGCTTTCACTATGGTAGTATAACACTTTCAAAATAATCAAAGGAAACTGGTAAAAGGAGACAGTTTCCACCTTCTCCCCTCAACATCACTGAATAACTTCCAATAATTTTTAGTCCTAGATACCATTTCCCCCTAAATTAAACTAGAATATTTACTCATACTTAAACCAAGTAACATTCATTAAATATTTATTTTGTGTCACTGCTACACTCAACTTAACACATTACATGAATTTTTTCACTTAATTCTAACATTAATTTGATGGACAGTATACTATTACTGTCCCCATTTTACAGTAACTCAAAGAGTTACAATAACTTGCCAGAGATCAAACAATGTAGACGCAGCAAGTACCTTTAAACACGGAACAAACAGAAATACACTGAGAAACAATAAACAACAGGAAACCAGGAATGAAAACAAAGCAAACAACAAAACAGTATGCTTATTCACTTCTCCTGTTTTTTTAATCACACATCAGTATTAACCTGTTTAGCACAAGTCAGTATATAAAATCCTATTCTACCATTAGAATTTATTCAGATAAATTCTAAAAACCAAAAATTGAACTATATTCTCTTATGATAATAAAACACATCATATAATTCATTAGTTTTTATGATACATGTGGCATAAAAATAAAGGGAATAAATAAAGCACTTTATTCACAGCATAAAGATTTAAAAATTTTCTTAGTTTAATGTACATTGTAATATTCAAGATGTACATATTACATATTAACATAATGTTGGTGAGAAGGGATTACCATGTCTGTTTTCAGTTGTAAAAAATATAGAGAAAGGATGAGGGGAGCTAATTAAAACTTGAGAAAAATTACACGTATTCAAGTGTGTTATTTAGCCTTATAAATGAACATGATAACTGGGAAAAAATAGAAAAAAGAGTAAGTTTCTTTCACTACATAAAATATATGGACACTTAATATAGCAAAACACGGCATTTCAAATTGGTAGAACAACAGTGGACAGTTTGGTAAATGGTTTTGAGGCAGCTGTATAGATATTTGGGAAAAAATTAAACTGTATCTATTATTCATTCACCCCTTTCAATAAATCCCATTTCGATTCAGCTTTTTTTTTTCAAATGTGAAGAACAAATCCTCAATATACTAGAAGAAAATATGAGTGAATTGTTAAATACATTTTGAGCAGGAAAAGGCTTTCTAAGCATGGCAGAAGCTCAAATATGCAGATGAGAGAAGGCATTAAATTTAAAATCATAAGGCAAAAATGTTTGGTGGCAAAGAATATTTGCAATATGAAATAAATATTTTAAGCTGCTAATATAAAGAGTTATGGCACATTTATAGGAAAAGATGAAAACTCAAAAAAAAAAAAAAAAAAAGAGGCAAAAAGATTCCTCCAAGTAGCACTCTTGCAATCTCCTTCATTACTTATTTTGTACCCAGGCCATGCTATGCACCTCATGCCCTTATGTGTCAGTCCTGTTTTACCCACGGGGGAGATAGCAGTAAAAACAGAAGACTAAGTCCTAGCTATCACGGAGCTCTCCCACTGGCGAGGAGAAAAAGACAATGAACAAACCATAAAACATGAAGTACATGCTATAGAGAAAAATAAAGAAGGGAAAGGGGATAGCAAAAGTTTCAAAGAAAGGGGTAGCAATTTAAGCAGAAATTCTAGCTGAGAAGGTGACTCGAGAGAAGAACTGATGGAACTGAGGGAACAAGGGCACGTCTCCCTCTGAGGCCTCTGGGCAGGAAACACCACGAAGGCCAGTGTGGTGGAGTGAGAGGAAGAAGCACAGAAGTGGGGAGATGAGGCTGGAAAAAAATGGGAAAAGAAGGAGAAGGAGAAGCAAATCGTGTAGGATCTGGTTGGGCACTGCAGGAATTTTGCTTTTTACTGGAAGAGATAAAAAATCTCAAATGAGTCTTGAGCCGATGACATTTCATAGGATGCTAAGGTGGGTGTGCTGAGAACAGGAGAGAGGGGGACATGGGAAAGCAGAGAACCCAGAGAAGCAACAGCAAGAAACCAAACAAGAGAAAATCAAGTCCTCCATCAGAGTGGTAGCTACCAATGTACAAAGAAGTGGTAGATTTCCAGATATATGACGAAAGTTAACAGGTTTTTGTGGAGAGACTTGAATCTGAAGCATGAGACACAGGAAAGAAGATCTAAGATTGTGACCAGAGAGACAGTAGGATGGATCAGCCACCAGAAGAGCAAGCAAGAAACAGGTTTGCTGAAAGATAAGGGGCTCAGTTTGGGGTGGGTTCAAATGACTAGTCAAAGATGTCTAGTAGACAGTGGAACATTTCAAGTCTGCATCATAGTGTAGAACATTTGGGGATGTCAGACTATATAGTTTTGGGGCACACCTGGCTGGCTCAGTGGGTTAAGCCTCTGCCTTTGGCTCAGGTCATGATCCCAGGGTCCTGGGATTGAGCCCCGCATTGGGCTCTGCTCAGCATGGAGCCTGCTTCCTCCTCTCTCTCTGCCTGCCTACTTGTGATCTCTCTCTGTGTCAAATAAATAAATAAAATCTTAAAAAAAATTATATAGTTTCAGTATTTAAACCCATAAATATAATGAGAGAATGAAAGTTAAAAAAACAAACAACTCTCTGTGGTATATCAGATTGGCAGAGGTAAGGAGAATGGATATTACTCATTGTTGACAAAAGGAAAAGATCGAGCAATCTCATCTCTTGTAACCGGGAATGTACATTTTCTGAGTGGCAGTGTGGCTCTATTGACCCAAAATGACAAACAGACACAGTCTTTGACTAACCAACTCCCTTGGCAGACATAGATCTGGCAATTATTTACATAAACAAAAACTTTTTAAAAAAAAAAACAGCTAAATGCCTACTGACAGATATAAACCTGGTTAACTAAATTTGAGTGGCTACTGTATATTTATTTTGATATGGAAAACCCACTAGAACATATTTTGAGTGTCAAAAGAACAATGCAAACCATTATAGGTAGAATACCACAGGCCACAAACATACACACATGTAGAATGGGGTGTGGGAAGATGTCCTACGAAACACTGAGGAGGGTTTTCATAGTAAAGCAGAGAGTGGTATTTGATGGAGCCTTTGCTTTCTTCTTTATACCTTTCTTTGATATTTAGTTTTCTACAAAGGGTAGATAATATTATTACAAAAAGAAAGAAGCTTTGTCTTTAGAGCATCCATATTGGAACAAAGGGTTGCTTTAGTCTTCCAAAAGTATATTCCACCCTAACCAATTCTTTCCCTTTTTCCAAATCTAGGACAATATGACGTGTGGCTATGATTTAGTAGCTTGATGATGAAATAACTTGGGATAGCATGAAGGCTCACACCTCTGTTAACCAAACCAAAGCCACAACATCTAGATATGGCCTGAAATCAAGAGCTATTTTATGTAGTTAAGCTGTTAGTGCACAGCCAGGTGAATAAATATTTTTGTCAAAGATTCCAATACCACCAACAGAGTTGTGATGGCATGACCTGTCAAAGTCTCAGCATAATATTCTTTACGAGTACAGATAAAATTCAACTTTTTAAAGGGTGCTTATGCTTCCATTTTTCATCACTAAAGGGTGTCAAACTTTTCACTGACTTATTAATTACATTATCCTCCCCCCACTTAAATGCCAAGTCACTGATGACATAACAAATGAACTTGTCCATGAACTGTACGTATATCTTATTATGTATCATATCATATATCTTTTTACGCACCAAGTCTGATTGTTGTTGCAGATGTAGAAAACACATAAGAAAATGTGTTCCTCTATTTATAACACCTAATAAAATGTCTCAAGAATGCTTCAGGTTTTCAACATAATTTTTATACAATCATCACCAAATTAGCACGTTTCTAGCTATATAAACCAAATATTAATTTCATGAGAACAGAATAAAATTCTCTTTGGGCCCATTCACAATTAAAAATTATAACCTGGACTATCACCAATATATATTGCTCTGTAGTAACAGTATTATTGGTAATGATATTTCTTCTTTGGGTCATGTACAAAGCAAGAAACTATCTTAAAATTCAGGGGAAATAACAGAGATAAAATAAATTTGTATAAAATATTCCTGAGATATATGTGTCAGAACTATTCTTTTTTCTTTAAAAAAAAAAAAAGAGTTTTGTTATTGAAGTCTCAAGTCTGCATATCATAAGCATATTACGATCCCACTGGGTCACATTATAAACCTAAAGCTGCATAAAATGTGTGTCATCTGGCTGTTTACAAGGTCCGTGGATTAAATTTTTACTGTCAGATTTATAACTGGCTTCCTTAAAGGGCCTCGTCCTCACAAAAATGAATGGAAACTAGAGAGGTATCAAAAAAAGCAGCTCAGTGCAGGAAAAGGTAGCTCATTTCACACAGATAAGTTAAGATTATAAAACGGAGGTTATGCTCTTACAAAAGTATAGCCTTTCATGACCAAGCCCAACCTTTCCTCTGCTTGAAAAGCCACAATTCCATTAGTACAAAGCCATAACTCCATGGAGCCAACTACTAAAGACTCAAGTTTATACCCGGATCAGGGCAAAGGGAATTTGCTAAAAGAAGGAATAATCACAGACTTATAGAAGTCTTCCTTGGAGGACAGCAATTCAGACTACCACTCAGGGAGTTCTCCCCCCTACAAT